CCCATAAGGCAATCGGATATTCCCTGGATCAACAATCTCTGATGCTTAATATACCTCTAAGAACTAAATATCCAGTAATATTCTGTGCATTTAGGAATACATCCAGATCTTTTTTCAAAACAAGTAACTGAGCTCTCTAGAACTAGCTCCTGGGGGAGCCTATTCCACATTTTCACAGCTCTAACTGTAAAGAATCCTTTCCGTATACAAAGGTTAAACCTCTTTTCCTCCAGACGCAAAGAGTGCCCCCTTGTCCTTTGCAGTGATCTTAAAGTGAATAATTTGGCACCAAGCTCTTTATATGGACCATTTATGTATTTATACCTGGTGATCATGTCCCCCCTTAATCGCCTCTTCTCCAGAGAGGACAAGTTCAGGTCAGCTAACCTTTCCTCCATGGCCTCTTATCAGTTTAGTCGCCCTTCGCTGTGCTTTCTCCAGTTCCACAACATCCTTTTTGTGAATTGGTGCCCAAAACTGAACTGCATATTCCAGATGAAGTCTTAACTGCAGCTTGACATTGCATGGTATTATTCAGTCTATGATCTACCAGAACACCCATCATTGACTCCCCCAAACATACTCCCCCCAGAGTGTTTGACACATGCATGTTTTTAGTCCCCAAGTGCAGAACTTTACATTTATCAACATTAAACCTCATTTGCGAGATAGATGCCCAATCACACAGAGCATTCAGCTCTGCTTGTAGGTTGGAGACATCATGTAAGGACTGTATTCTACTACATAACTTAGTGTCATCTGCAAACACAGAAAAAGTACTTTTAATCCCCAATTCGATGTAATTTATAAATAGATTAAACAATAAGGGACCCAAAACTGAACCTTGGGGAACACCACTAACAACCTCAGACCATTAAGAGTATTCATTCCAGAGGTGTTCAGTAGGGTTGAGGTCAGGTACTGATGTTGGATGAGGAGACCCAGCTCACAATCGGTGTTCCAATTCTTCCCAAAGGTGTTCAGTAGGGTTGAGGTCAGGTACTGATGTTGGATTAGGAGACCCAGCTCACAATCGGTGTTCCAATTCATCCCAGAGGTGTTCAGTAGGGTTGAGGTCAGGTACTGATGTTGGATGAGGAGACCCAGCTCACAATCGGTGTTCCAATTCATCCCAAAGGTGTTCAGTAGGGTTGAGGTCAGGTACTGATGTTTGGATGAGAAGATCTGGCTCACAGTCAGCATTCCAATGAATCGCAAAGGTGTTCAGTAGGGTTGAGGTCAGGGCCCTGTGTAGGACACTCAAGTTCCTCCATAGCAAACTGGTCACACCATGTCTTAAAGGAGCTGGCGTTGTACACAGGTAACAGTCATGGTGGAACAGAGAATGGTCTTCACCAAAGTGTTACCAAAAGGCTGGAAGAGCACAATTGTCTACAATGTCTTTATATGATGGAGTATTAATAGAATATTTAATGGAAAGACCTGATTTGGAGGGGGTGTTGCATACTTTTAGCCATACAGGCAGGTGTGATGGTCAGATGGCCACATATTTATGGCTATATGATATATTTATAAACCCAATCACTAAAATCTCATAAAATCTGTAACAAGTTGATGTATTTTCAAAAGTAATTTTCAGATATTTATCAATCTGTAGCTTTTATTAAGGTACTATCTGGTGAATCTGCCGTGATGGACCATGTTTGGGCACTTCTGGTATGTTGTGACAGCTCTTTGTCCACATCTCCCAATTGCGCTCCTGAATTGTCATCTTGTCACATGGGCTTCCAATGGAGACTTCAACAGACAGGGTCCACTGTTGTCACCATCAGGAAAGCCAGCCCTGAGAAAATGCCATGCAGCCATCGCTGGGGTGCATGTAGACAGGACGTGGAAGGGTGTCAGGGTGCACGTGTGCTCAGTGTTTCAAAGTCCTACTGTTTATTTAGAATTTTATGATTTTCATGGATAAAAGTAGAAGTTTGGTTTTAGGGTGAAACCCATGTGAGTTTTTGAGCAAAGCTGGCCTTTTTGTTGGCTAAAAAAAATGGCAACCCTTTATTAGTATTCATGATGCTTTAGCAAACTAAATGTAGTTGATTTAGCTTTAAGAAAGGAAAGAATTAGGATCTCCACACCTGGTCCATTAAAGTCAAGGGCTTGTTCAATTAGGATCTCCACACCTGGTCCATTAAAGTCATGGGCTTGTTCAATTAGGATCTCCACACCTGATCCATTAAAGTAATGGGCTTGTTCAATTAGGATCTCCACACCTGGTCCATTAAAGTCATTGGCTTGTCCAATTAGGATCTCCACACCTAGTCCATTAAAGTCATGGGTTTGTTCAATTAAGATCTCCACACCTGATCCATTAAAGTAATGGGCTTGTTCAATTAGGATCTCCACACCTGGTCCATTAAAGTAATTGGCTTGTCCAATTAGGATCTCCACACCTGGTCCATTAAAGTCATGGGCTTGTTCAATTAGGATCTCCACACCTGGTCCATTAAAGTCATGGGTTTGTTCAATTAGGATCTCCACACCTGGTCCATTAAAGTCATGGGCTTGTTCAATTAGGATCTCCACACCTGGTCC